TCGCTAGAGGGATTATATCTCTCGGCTGGCCTGGGAACGCCTCGGTGTCCCCCCCGAGGAGCTGGTGGAGTTAGCTGGGGAGAGGGAGGTCTGGGTGCTTCTCCTGAAGCTGCTGCCCCCGCGACCCGAGCCTCGGACAAGCGGTAGATGATGGATGGATGGATGGATGGTTTGCAGTGGGATGAGCAGGAAAGAGGCAACTCCATGAAAATGGCTTTATGGTCAGACAGCCCAAGGTCACATACTTGCAGGTTTGGGATCGGAACAGAGTTGGTTATCACCAGATCAAGCGTGTGCCACCTAGAATGAGTGGGAGCATCAACATGTTGCTGCAGATTTAGACTGTCGAGTAGATGGAGAAACTCAGCAGCATAGTGACATGAGGTGGTGTCCACATGAATGTTTAGGTCTCCGAGTATCAGAATGTTGGCAGAGATTGTGCAGAGTGTACTGAGAAAGCCCTGAAATTCTGGAAAAAAAGCTGAGTTAATTTTAGGTGGACGATAGATGAGAAGGAGGGTTAATGACAGAGGAGGCTTACATTTGAACGCAAGGCATTCAAATGATGACAACACAGGTAACGGAAGGGAGAAGAACTCCAGGTCCTGACGATGTATGACAGCAAGACCACCACCATGTCCAGTGCTGCGTGCCTTCTTAATGTAAAAGTAACCAGGGGGGCAAGCTTCATTTAGAGATAAGAATACTCCAGGCTCATGCCATGTTTCAGTAAGGCACAGGAGATCTAGTTCCTTTTCAATAATATGATCCCGTATGAAGGATGCTTTGTTTGGCATTATTAAAAAGTTCAACTTTGACCAAAGAAGGAACAGCAAATTGCTGTAGCGACCGTAGCACAGTCAGATCCACTCCGCGGATCCGAATTGCTCCAGGTTTTTGGCCAAGCCCAGAAGGCAGCTGTCTCACAGCAGTATCCATGTTACATAGATCACGCGTGACAGTGTTCTGATGACATGTGCAGCGTGTGCCGGTTTTCAACCAGAGAGCCGGGATTCCTGAGGCAAGGTGGTTGAAGTGATGGTAGTAGAAAAACTACACTCTGCCACCTGCAGTATCGGAGTGTATGGGTATTTCACCATATTAGGCCACTGCGTGACATCTCGCTCCTCCCACATCTCGCCCCGCCCCATCCTGCAGGCTGCAGTGAGGTGTACTTGAGTATCTTGGGGTCTTGTTCATGAGTGAGGTAAAAAGGGAGCAGGAGATCGACCGATGGATCGGTGCAAGAATGGCAGTAATGCAGACGCTGTACCATTCTGTTTTGGTGAAGAGGGAGCTGAGCCAGATGGCAATGCTCTCAATTTACTGGTGGATCTACGTTCCTACTCTCACCAATGGTCATAAGCTCTTGGTGGTGACTGAAAGAATGAGATCATGAATACAAAATAAGCTTCTTCCCCAGGCTGGCTGGACTCAGCCTTAGAGATAGGCGAGGGGCTCAGATATTCAGGAGGGGCTCAAAGTAGTGCTGCTGCCCCTCTGCATCGATAGGTCATCACAGTTGAAGTGGTTCAGGCACATATCTAAGGATGCCTCCTGGATGGCTCCCTGGGGAGGTGTTTCGGGCATGTTCAACCAGGAGGCGGCCCTGGGGCAGACCCAGGACATGCTGGAGAGATTATGTCTCTTGGCTAGCATGGGAACATCTTATATTTCCCCCAGTGGAGCTGGAGAATGTGGCGGGTAAGAGGGAGGTCTGGGCATCCCTGTTTAAACTGCTGCCCCTGCAACCCAACCCCAGATAAACAGCGGAAAATGGATGGATACACTAAGCAATGTCATATGCATTTAAAAGGAGCTGAATTACACACAAACATTGATGTTTTAACCCTTGGTTTTATGTTTAACCTTTTTCCATCTAATCTCAGTTCCAACATGAAAAGGTAGAGAGCTGGCAAAATGCTGATAAGTGTGAAATATGCTAGCTGCAAAATCTAGATATAAAACACAAGAAAACAATAAGCTATCATTTTACATTAGATTCCTACTAAAAATGACAAATGAAATAATTCATTTTTTTGTGAAATAACTCAAGGGCACAAAACATGAGTTCATGCAGTAGTTGTTAATCAGGGTCAGTGTTAAGTGCAACCACCTGGAAGAGTGGTGCAACTGTCATTGCAGTCAGCCTGATCTTGATTAGAACTAAAAAAATCCAGAGGATATATGTGGAAGATTCATCAATATGAATGTGTCACAATTGTGTTCCAGTTATACTCCAATACCAGTTGAAAACAAGCTGAAATGGTTCATACATTAGGTTTTTTCAGCATGGAAAATTCCTACTTCAAGACCCACACCATCCATCCATCTTCCATCTACTTATCTTGGAAAGGTTTGGAAGTAAAATTGGACATTAGTAGGCCCGGGAGGAGAGGCATATTGGGTCTGTTATGTCTTAGGCCTTAGGCCAGAAGAGATTGTTTTGAATACTGTGTGACCTCGCTTTGTGATAGCTGCCTACAGTTGGCTCTGCAGACCCTGAAGAAAGCTCGGACCTTGGAGAGGCAGACAATGGAGCAAAGGGGGGGACCACTTGCAGGAAGAGACTCAAAGCCGCCCCAACTGGTGCACAAAGAGTTATAGCTTAATAAAATAGGTAGACAATATATATTATGTTACGCAACTGGAAATGTATAAGTAATCATATTAATCATACTTATGTTAATCATACTAATCATGTTAACCATGTATTTTCAGTGATTCAGGGACAATACGTCAATGTGTTAATCATTAATCAATGGAACACCCAAACATTAACAGTGATTCAATGTCATATAATTATCTATATCCTCCTGAGACCCGACCTATTCATTTATGTCCATTGTAGTGGACATTGTATTTTTGCATTTATTTTTTCACTGATGTTGGGAAACGTATTTGTTCTTGTTGTGCACTAAAGAGGACATGCTGTGAAATTAAAATAAGAATAAATTTGAAAAAATATAAATTGTAAGATGTCTTATTTCCTCCAAAGACAAATAACCTACAATTGAAGGACACTTTTTTCCTTGGGTCTCAGGAGGATATACATATCTCAAGTAGAGTCTAGTCGTGCATTCAGAGCTAGATAAGATTTTAACAACTCTGAGATATTAGCTAAGTTCTCCCCAAACGAGCTTGATGGGCCGAATGGCCTCCTCTCGTTTGTAAATTTCTTATGTTCTTATGTTCTTATTCCATTTGCCCTCGGAACCTTCGGAAGCCGGAAGTGATGACATGTGCGCTCCCGTTTCTCGGAGATCCGAGAAATATCTCGGATAACGCAGAGGATTCCGAGTTCAGAATCGAAGATGGCTGCGCCCTTTATCAACAGAAGGGAAAGTTGTAGTTTTATCCTGTTTAAGCACTACTTCTCATTTGTGGCTCATTAAATCGGTCGCACACACTATACCTTCCAACTTATCTGTGGACATGTTGCTACGGGGTTTTATACATGAAGCACCGCGCGTAATGTGTTATCAAGTGATATTGCTAACAATGGCTACCAATTAACCGGTCTAGAATTGGATTTCATGATTAGTCGGATTATTTGTCAGATTTAAGGTAGTTCGTGCTAATTGTAAGTGAACGAAGATAAAGGCCATTTAAACTGAGGTACCTTAAATCCGGCAAGTTGTCCGGCTAAGCAAAAAATCTTGCTTTTTGATATAGGTCCATGGAATTGCACTTCTGTGGCAGATGGAACATATCCGACTCGGTTTTCCCGAGTTTTTAGCGGATGTGACGTAATATCGGAATCCGAAAATCGGATCCCGAGGCAAATGGAATGCAGCATAGAAGCCGAGGCTGTCTCCAGTAAATTGCGTACAATGGGTGAACTTTACCTTGCTACCAAGGTGAACCAATGGAGCAGGAGAATTGTGTTTGTTATACGTTTCAGCTTAGTTTGTTGATGTTTTGTGACCAATCAGGACTTAGAAGTCCTGGGAGCTATGGTTTATCTACTGGTTGCTCTGTGTGCTGGGGGTGACTTGGTACCGAGTGCCAGAGTGTGATGGGAGCGCTTTGCTGAAATCGCTGGAATAAAAGAGATTTCCTTTACTCACCAAACTAAGAGGTCCAGACTTTTATTCTAAGTGACTCTGTGTTATCAGAGAGGTTGATTTATAATTTTTCTACCACAAAAGGTAACAAGGAGCCTGCATAGGATGCCAGTCCATCACAGCTTACATGCACTCACAAAATTACACACCATGGGCATTTTAGAAATCGCAGTTAACCAAACTGCACATCTTTGGATTTTGGGAGAAAACAGGAGTACCCAGAGAAAACCTGTGTAACATAGGAAGAATATGGGAGCTTTGCAAGGAAACAGTGGGATGCTGGAGTTGTGAGGCAATAGTGCTACGCATGAAACTACCAAGTAAACTGTAAGATCTGCTCTGTTTAATAAAATATGTACACACTTCATATAGAAATGGAATAAAACTCTTAGAGGAAATAAACATCACAAAACATATTTTGTGAAAGGTGTTGCCCAAAAAAAAAAGTTTCTCTTCGTATAACAGTCAGTCCAGACCAACCAAAGACTTGATCCCTAAAAGGTCTTCCACGTTTAACATTATGCTATTGTCTAGATGGCCATGTTCTAGACGTAGACTCATTCATCATTTTGTTGCCCAGCAGTTCAGGTAAATCATTTAATCAGTGGATACAACACAAGTTCAATTCCAGTTATTCGCCCATCCTTTTCAATCTGACTTGGTTACTTATGTTGGTTGATGGGGTAAAACTAGAAAAACTAGATGACTTGATAACATTCAGGAGTTGAGTAATGATTCCTGGAAATAAAAATGAAAAATGAGTGATTAATGAATGCTGAATATGCACAGAATATAATAATCATAATAAAATGTGCATAAACACAAATGCACACACATTCTTATATACACCGATCAGCCATAATAATAAAACCACCTGCCCAATATTGTGTAGGTCCCCCTCGTGCTGCCAAAACAGCTCTGACCCATGAAGGGATGGACTCCTTAACACCTTTGAAGGTTCTGTGGTACGTTAGCAGCAGATCCTTCAAGTACTGTAAGTTGCAAGGTAGGGCATCCATGGATTGGACTTGTCTGTCCAGCACAACCCACAGATGCTCCAGCAGAAATTTCAAGGCCAAGACAACACCTTGAACTTTTTCCATGTTCCTCAAACCATTCCTGAACAATTTTAGCAGTGACAGGGGGCATTAACGTAAGAGACGAAAGAGGACGTCAACTTTTCAGTGAAAATTAAGCCCATTTTCACTTTACAATACTAATACAAAATTCAGTCCAGTATAATCCATGATGAGCACAGAAGTCCAATAACAAAACACCACTTGGGTTCAGATCGAGGGGGCCGTTCCTCCCAATCACGCCCCTCCAGGTTTCACTGTCATTGCCCACGTGAGCATTGAAGTCCCTCAGCAGAACAAGAGAGTCCCTGGGAGGAGCGCTCTTCAACACCCCTTCCAAGGACTCCAAAAAGGGTGGGTATTCTGAACTGCTGTTTGGTGCATAAGCGCAAACAACAGTCAGGACCTGTCCCCCCACCCGAAGGCGAAGGGAGGCTACCCTCTCGTCCACCGCGGTGAACCCCAATGTACAGGCGCCCAGCCAGGGGGCGGTAAGTATGCCCACCCCTGCCCGGCGCCTCTCCCCGTGAGCAACTCCACAGTGGAAGAAGGTCCAACCCCCTTCGAGGAGACTGGTTCCAGAGCCCAAGTCGTGCGTCGAGGTGAGCCCGACTACATCTAGTCGGAACCTCGCGGCCTCGCGCACCAGCTCAAGCTCCTTCCCCACCAGAGAGGTGAAATTCCATGTCCCCAGGAGCCAGGCCTGGAGGTGGGGCTCGTTGGCGAGCGCCTGGTGGCCAGGCCTACACCCATGGGGCCTGGTCGTACACAGCCCGAAGAAGGCACATGGGTCCCCCCTCCAATGGGCTCACCACCTGTAGGAGGGGCTAAAGGGGTCGGGTGCAGTGCGTGTTGGGCAGTGGCCGAAGGAGGGGACCTTGGAGGTCCGATCCTCGGCTACAGAAGCTAGCTCTAGGGACATTTCAATTGCCCCCCCATTAATTTATTGGTGGCTCCCACTCTGATTGTAGGCACTTTTTGGCAACAGACAAGGGTCAGCATGGGCACTCTGACCGATTTGTGACTACGCGGCAAGCTGCGATGCACAGTGTTCAGACACCTATCAGTTATAGCAGCATTAACTTTTTCAGCAATTTGTGCTAAAGTAGCTCTCCTGTGGGATCAGACAAGAGGAGTTTAACCTTCCATCCCAATGAGCCTTGGGGACCCATGACGCCGTTGCTGATTCACTGGTTGGTCATCTTTGGACCGTTCTCGGTAGGTACTAGCCATTGCATACTGGGAACACACCACAAGGCCTGCCATTTTGAAGATGCTCTGACCCAGTCATCTAAATATTACAATTTGGTCTTTGTCAAAAAATCACTCCTTACACTTGCTCATTGCTCCTCCTTCCAACATATCAAGAACTGACTGCTCACTTATGTAATATATAATGGCATTCCTGTGCCATTGTAACAAGATAATCAATGTTATTCACTTGACTTGACAGAGGTTTTAATGTTATGGCTGATCGGTGTATTTTAATATAAGTTAATCTGCTTGAACAAATTCCCACAACACTTATGCCTTATGTCAGGTTCAGTGAATTATAGTCTAAGTCAAAAATAATCTAAAAGAAATGGTAAATTGCTCATAAGTATTAAGCTTAAAAACAACAGAATACATAACTAGATGAACATAACTGAAGCGACTGAATGAAATTAAGTGACAAAAATGATGCACAACATACAACAGAACACAAGTTCGGTATATATGCTATCATAACCATCTGGCACAAGATTTGTCACAAAGCATACCTTTTGTAGATCCTGCCCAGTGCTATGGTATTTCCGAGACACAGAAAATGAGAAACTCCCAGCAAAACAAAGCACAGCACATAAACTTAGCAAGCATCCAGCGACCATCATTAAATGATGAACAGCCAGGTCTCTGTCTCCCTATAATTGAAACAGGTAAAAATAGGGTTGTGGGATTTGTGTGGTTATTACTGGAAAAATGAAAACATCTGTGGTCCATACCGTTCACCTGTTTCTTGCATAAATGTATACTCACCTGGGAAAGCATGATAAGTTTGGGGTCTGGGTTAAACTCCATGCGGTAACAAGGCTTAGCTGATTGGGCACCTTGTTTATACTGGTCTGAAGTCATGGCTGTTACAACAGAATGATCTGCATACGGTTCTTCACTTGCTGGGCACAATGGAGGCATCCTGTTTAGTTACAAAAATGTTCATCATGAGCTTTCTTTGAATTTAAAGCAGTTTCTGAGTGGCAGACCCACCAAAAATTCTAGCTTTGTGAATCTCACAATGCAGTGTTTCTTGCACCTATATCCCAGAGGTTCTAATTCAGGTCTGTCATTTTTTTCCTTGTGATGCATAGCACCTATCTTAAGTTTATATCTCTTAAGGATACACCACATGCAGAATTATTAGGCAAGTGTGTATTTTGCTTGTATCATCACTTCTAACTAATAGTTTCAGCCCAGATTTTTCTCCAATTAAGAACAGACTGCTTAAAAATAAAGCATGCTCAATACTTGGTCTGAGTTTTGGTCTGAGTACTTACTTTGTGTAGTAAAATAGGAAACAACACATACTTCCCTGTGCAGAATTATTTAGAATCAAATGCCACAATTTTTCAAAACTGCAATCAGAAGGGAATCTCCAGAAGTACTAAATGCAGTGTGCTACGTGACACTGCTAAAATCACAAAGGCTGCAACATTTCAAGATTAAGACTTCAATAAGGCACACAAGATACAACATCAAGAATGGGCATGGACACATTTGAAGACTGATTTACAAAGGTTTTGCGGGCAGAAAATGGATGGGCTTGTGGATGGACACCTTCTCCAAGCACCAATAAGATGGTGGAGTGATAACATGAGCTGCAATCATAAGTGATGAACTTGTCCAACCATTCAGACTTGCAGATGGTGTAAAAAATGAACAAGATCTACTGCCAATTTCTAGAAGATTGAGAACTACTGGACCAAGGACATTGAACTTGGTAAAGTGGACTGTATAGAAAAGCCGATTGTTATTCCTTATATAGACTGAATAACAAACTAACTTATTAGTTCTCTTGATGGTAAACAGAAAAATTTGTGAATAATTGTGCACACTGATAAATGACTTTTATTTTTGTTTGTGACAGACTAATGTACATAACATCTGAAAGTAACATCATTTTACTTTTTTGCACAGATCCCTTTAGGGGCTCCATATTAATGTATCAATGCAATATTTTCTCTCTAAATAAAATGAGCAAAAAAAAAAAAAACTGCTGAATTCACTTTTACAGTATGCCCAATTTTACTAAAAATTCTCTCCAGGAATAGTTCTGCACATTGTATTAAGTGTCAATCATTCTCTGTCAGAAAACTTTGACTTGTGACCTGCTGATACAGTCTGTCCATACTTGACATATGTTATTAAGATTAAAGTTATTGATCCCAAGGGGAAATTCTGGTGCATATGACAGCAAGAACATAGTGCACAGACAAACATACATATAGTACCAAACAGTGTACAAAAACCGTACACACAGTGCAAAGAATATAAAGTGCAAACCGATTTATAAAGTACACAGTACATAACTAAATAAAATATTTTGAAAACAGAATGTGTTACCAAAAACAGATATTTAAAGGGAAGAATAATAGTGTGCAAATTGGGACAAAATGCACCAGACTGTATCATAACATCTTTTAATGCAAGACAGAATACTTCCTTAGGTTATGGCTGCAGGGGGAATGGCACCCGTGAGGAAATGTTGTGATGTGTTATGGCAGCAGGCAGGAACGATCCCCCATAGCGTTTTTAGTCCACCATGGTGAAATAGCCAATGGCTTAATGTACTCCAGGATAGTACCCCCTGAAGAGAATGGGTAGAACTGTTCATGATATTGTCCAATTTTGTTAACATCCTCTTCTCTGCCACTGCCTCCAGTGGGTCCAAGGACAGTTCTGCTCTTCCTGATGGGTTTGTTCATGCTTTTGACATCATTTGCATTGATGGCACTTCCCCAGCAGGGCACGACGTAGAACAGCACACTGGTCACTATGGACTAATGAAACATACACAGCAGCTTGCCACACATGTCAGAAGACCTCAGAAAGTAAAGTCTGCACTTTTCTTTTTTTGTACAGTGCCACTGTGTTGTCCACTCAGTCCAGTCTGCTGTTAAGATGGACCCCCAGGATCGTGCAGCCCTGCACCACCTCCACTTCCTCCCCTTGGATGGTGACTGGTCTCAAGAGCTCCCTGTTATGCTGGAAGTCCACCACCAGCTCTTTTGTCTTGCTGGTGTTGAGCTGCAGGTTGTTCCCCCAGCACCTGAAGACAAAGTTCCTCTACTAGTCCTCTGTTCTCTGACTCATCTCCATTGCAGATATATCCTACAATGGAGGAGTCATCAAAGAACATATGTAGATTGCAATAGCTGAAGTTGTAAGGGAAGTCTGATGTGCAGAAGACAAATAGGAATGGGGACAGGACGGTTCCTTGAACTGCCCCAGTGTTTCTCACCGCCATCTGACACACAGTCCCAGAACCTTGTAAAATGTCACCTGTCCATGATCCAGGAGACTGTGGGGAGATCAAGCTGCAATGTCCTGCATTGGAAAGGCTGGATAGTGTTAAAGGCAGTGGAGAAGTCAAAGAACATGACCCTGACTAGTTCCGGCTTTGTCTATGTGGGAGCTGGCTCTATGAAGCTAGTAGTTCAGAGCATCGTCTACACCTTGTGTGTGCCTGGTAGGCAAAATCCAGGGTATCCAACTGGTCTGTTGCCAGTGGTCAAAGCTGTTTCAGTACCATCCTCTCAAAGGCCTTCGTGATATGTGAAGTAAACTGGTCTAAAGTCCTTAAGTTAGCTGGAGCACCCTCTCTTTGGAATGGGCAGCACACAAAATGTCTTCCAGAACTAGGGCACCTTCTGTAGACTCAGGAAGAGGAAGAACAGGTACTGTAGGACCCTGCATAGCTTCGCAGCCTTGCCTCTGTGGAGTTTCCCCAGCTCTCTCCTCACCTGGTCAGCAGACCCTGACAAACTGGGAAGTTGAGTAGAGGTGGAGACCTTTGGTTTGGTATCTTTGATGAAGTCTCAGGTTCTTTTCCCTACTAGCACCGTGCAGGTGCTCGTGCGGAAGTGGCACGACTTGAGAACCAGCTCTCATTTCCACTGGTTAAAAACAACATGTATACCAGACGAGGAGTATGTACACGACAGGCGTGTAACATTTTTCCAATTCATTAAATTATGTTTTTGACAGAGAATATTTAGGCTAATGCTAACTTAAGTGCCGATTCTCAAAGGTGCCATAGAGTGGAAATCTCGAATTTACCTCGGTTGAATAAAGAGAGTTTGATACGTGGAACTGACATACCTTGAATCTGAAATACTTTTGTTTCCTCTTACTAATATAAATCCCACATATTTTTTTTGATTAAAAAATTCTAGACTGTTATGTAACAGTATTAACTATGCCCCCAAACGTAACATAAAACAGCCCACTTTCAAGCCCAATGGACATGCAGAATGTGCAACAAATCTTCTCTCTCGAGAAGCAAGCATGTATGCATAGTTCCACTTTGCAATATTACCACTTAGAGGTGATCCATGGAATATCTAGCAGGGAAGAAATTTCAAGAACTGACTTATTGCAAAGGTGGAATCCTATGACAGAACCACACTTGAATTCACCAAGCTCTTCAGAATGACCCACTTTCACAAATATCTATAAACCTGACTGCATGGCTAGATGTTTGATGTTATACACCAGTGGCAATGTGCCTGAATGAAACACTTGAATTCAATAATCAAGAGGTATGTCCCAATACAGCGGTACCTTGGTTCTCGAACTTAATCCATTCTGGACTCTGGATCCAATCCTAAAAATTTCGAGTTCTGATTGAATTTTTCCCATAAAAAATAATGGAAAACCAATGAATTGGTTCCCTGCCCCCCAAAATTACACCTAAATGTTTTTTTTTTTTTTTTTTTAGCATTTAAACACAAAATGAGCAGGTTAAAACAAGAGCATTTTTTTTATGGCTTCCAAAACGATAAAGATCTTATCCCAACATTACCCCTGTCCTGCCCCGATCGTCCGCTCCTTCTGTGTGCCACGCCCCCTCGTTAAGCTCGTGTGGGATCCCCATGTGTTCAGCTGTTTCTGGTTGTTGTCATTAGTCCTCTGTATTAAGTCCGCGTTTCAGTTTGTTTCCCCAGTCCAGTCATTGGGTGCGTTCGACTTGCATACAGCGCTGGCTGAAAGAAACGCATTCTGATCCTGACGCAATGCATTACGGTTAGATGCATTGCGACCTCTCACCCGGCTGCACAAACTGGAACCGCCTCCGTGACGACACACCTTTGCCCTTATTGGCTGTGAAGAGTTTAGTTACATGCATGACGTTTGTATCCCAGGCAGTTCCGATGCGTAATCTGCTATTTCTCCCGAATATCACGTAAAATAGTGAGAACTGGTTTTCAGTTAATTTACCTGGTAAAATAAAGTTTAAATAAATTACATAAATGCTCTAATAGTACACGTAAGTTAGTGATTTGTTTATTGTTAGTTACTGTAATGTTGCGTATTTGGTTAATCGTCCAGTCTGTGAAGAAGGCATTCAAGTAAGAATTGCATTGTAGTATGACTCATTTCCTGGCGAGTACAATTTATATTAGGTCAGCCTTCACGGTTCGACTTCTGATATTCAGATCGAGTTCTAGGTCAAACTGGTTTGTTCGACTTTCAATAAATTCGAGTTCTAGTGAGTTTGAGAACCGAGGTACCGCTGTACTTTTGTCCGTATAGCACATGCCACGAACCTAGAACTTTGGGGGAAAAAAATTTATCTTTTGTCCTAAACTAAGGAATATGGCTGGCAGTCCAATGCAATCATCTGCATTATTTTAGTAGTTGTATCTTTAGTTCTAATGCTGCTAACTTTTGATATTGGTTTAGTTTAAATATCAGCCAGAAATATCAACCAAGACTCACAATGACCTGATGACAATATATAGGTTTTTCAGTGCATATCGGTCAATACCAACATTAAGCAATATATTGTGCATCTCTACGGCAGAGGCGTTCATGAGTCACAAAATTCTTCAAAGAGACAAAGAGTCTTCATCGTGGTTCCAATTTGACCTTACTATTTATCAAATATTTAACCGCTTATTTTTTTCTATTAGTAGCTGATGCAACTAAATGAGAATCACCACTTGAACAGCTCAAAAACTACATGTCTCATAGTTCCTTAAGCATACATTTTCAAAGCAATTGCTATTTCAAATGCCTTTCAAGCAATAAAATTTTTGTAAGAACGTAAGCACTTTTCTAATGTAGATTTTAAAACTACTACTTTCTCAAAAATATCATTATGATGAAAACATCTCTTGCAGGAAATTTCGGCATAAATTCCTAAGTTGGACCATACGTATATGCATACATTACTGTGCTAAAAGAATATCAGACAGGCTCTGCTCTGGAGCGCTGCTCAGACCAAATCATGCTGGACCCTGCCCTCAACTATGTTAAAGTGATGTGATTGGCTAATGAATGAGTATTACCCAGACTTGGTCTGTCATGCTGCTAAAGTAAATGCATATATACAGCTTTTTACACATCATTCTAAAGCAAAAACTCCAATTAATGCATAAAATTGATTTGTCTCTCAGCTTGTGTGTGTGCATGCAATTAAATAAAGATTATGCAAGTAACACTGCAAACTCCATGGTAAGAAGTTAAAATAATGTGTGCAGTCATGCTGCTCTTTTAGTTATGGGAGAGTAGTCAGTGACATTACTTTTCAGTCGAATTATTTGCTGGTGTTACTTTATTTAAATTGTTAAATTTGAATGCATGACAGAACTCCAAATAATTTAATACATAACACTACATGCCATACACCAAGCACAATGAAGAGGTGTGGGCACTTTCTAAGTTGTAAGAAAATATAGCTTGACTTGGAAGGGTATGTCAGAAATGAAAGAGTGTTTTTGGGACATATCAGCCGAATGATCAGATTTATGCCAATCTATTCGAATCTACGTTACTGTATAACAACACAATGTACACTCACCTAAAGGATTATTAGGAACACCTGTTCAATTTCTCATTAATGCAATTATCTAATCAACCAATCACATGGCAAGTTGCTTCAATGCATTTAGGGGTGTGGTGCTGGTCAAGACAATCTCCTGAACTCCAAACTGAATGTCAGAATGGGAAAGAAAGGTGATTTAAGCAATTTTGAGCGTGGCATGGTTGTTGGTGCCAGACGGGCCAGTCTGAGTATTTCACAATCTGGGGTGCGTTTCTCGAACAACGACGGAAGTTAGCATTAACGATGCAT